AAAAAAATATATATATATATATATATATATATATATATATATATATATATATATATATATATATATATACATAAAAACTACAATAGTATCTCAATAATACAAAAATAACCCTGGCTATTATTTGTCCCTCCATTATACTGTAGAAAGCATCAAAATGCTGTTTCTCAGATCACAATTTTAAGGATTTTTTCCCCCTTTTTTTGCGCATTTGTGGAAATTCATGCGTAATTTTAATTGTTGAAAATAGTTCTTTCATGTTTTCTTTTACATTAGTTAATCTAACATATTTAACAGTTATCACAACAGCAGCAATAAAATCATTAGATTTGTGCCTCTAATGCAGTAAAAATCACGGGGCACCCACATTTTCAGTGGAAAGTGCCAGATGATATTTGATGGTAGTTCAATGGTAATCGCTCATTGATAATGTGCATCATGTGTGTTGTGTGTTTTGTAATCACACCTGACGTCTTTGTCTCTCTCTCTCTTCCGTCCTGCAGATCAAAACCATCCTGAGCGGCTTCATCATCCGCGGGTATCTGGGCAAGTGGACGCTGATGATAAAGACCATCACTCTGGTTCTGGCTGTGGCGTCGGGCCTCAGTCTGGGGAAGGAAGGTCCACTGGTCCACGTGGCCTGTTGCTGCGGAAACATCTTTTCCTACCTCTTCCCCAAATACAGTAAAAACGAGGCCAAGAAAAGAGAGGTTAGACACCATTAGTGGACATAGATTTATTCTCTTAAACAGAAATCTTCTACAATTTCAAGATTTCCGTCCGTGACTCTGTGTGTCTCTGCGGGCAGGTTTTGTCGGCGGCGTCGGCTGCTGGTGTGTCTGTGGCTTTCGGGGCTCCTATCGGAGGAGTTCTGTTCAGTCTGGAGGAGGTCAGTATTAAAAATACTGTCAAATTGTGAAATATTATTAGAGTTTAGTAATATAACTGTTAATAATAATAATAACTGTTTTCTATGTGAATGTACTAGGGGTGCACGATTAATCAAATGCGATTGTCAGTAAAGCCGATTCTGTGATTAGTAGTAAATCTCAAAAAAAATAAAAATGTAGTTCATTTATTACACAGAGCCATAGATCTCTGACAGGCTACGCAATAATAAATAATAATAGTTAATAGTTCTGCGATTATGAAAGCTGTTTGCGTAGCTTCTCAGTGAACTACGGCTATGTGAAGTAAATGCTGCTCCATCTGAAAGCATGTGAAAATACCACATTTAATAACATATTTTTACTCCAAACTCGCTTCATAACGTCAGTCGAGTGTTTGAAATAAATCCTTCTGTGAGATGATGTGGCTTCTTACACAGAATAAGGCACACAACATATTTCATAGTGTTATAAGCAGTGATAAATGTTGATTAGCATTGCATTATTATTATATACTTTATTATAATAAAAATTATAAGACGAACTCCGATAAACCATATATTGTCGTTAGGGATGCACCGATATGAAAATTTTGGCCGATACCGATAACCGATTATTCTTTATTTTTGAAAGCCGATAACCGATATGTTGGCCGATAAATCTATATCCAAATTGTTATATACTTTTTGAGAGCCTGATTACAAAAAAGGTCTCATCATTAAAAGCCACATCCCAAACACTTCAACATAAGCAGCCTAGTTTGAACGGTGTACGTTTTAAAAATATTTTTACTCTCCCATTACCAAATTTAGTCATAAAAAGTCTTACAAATAAATAAAATGATGCATAAATAATGCAAACAAGTCACTGGACATCATTACACGTGTAAAGAATCAAAATGAATGCGCCATAGATCAATAAAACAGAATAGCCTCTGCACGGACAATAATTAAATGATTTTAATTACTAAACCATATTGTTGATGAAAATAATAAGAGAAAAATACAAGTGGTTGTTGTTATTAATAATATATCAATGATTTTGAAAAAGTAACAAATTAATACCACTGTTTTAAATAGCAGCCATTGAGCTGCAGCTCAAGCTGAAGCTGAAGAGCTGAATGAACACGGTAAACTGAAGCGTTTTGCTGGCAGCTTATTTAACTCAAGGAAACGCATCCTGAGATTAATATTAATACAACATAAACATAATAATACAACTTATATATGTACAAAATGACGCAGTTATTGCATGCTATAGTCAGAATGTGTGATCCTGTTGTGGATGCGCTCTTCCCATAACAACGCGCTGAAACACGGCAACTAAACCCAAAGAATTCACAACGTTTTATTATAATAATGTTCTCATTAGAATGTTATATACACGACATTCCCAATCATAGTTATTAATGTTGTGCACTGCTGTTTGAGCTGCGTGCGCTGAGCTAAAGACAATCACCGGTAAACTGAAGCGCTCTTTTAACTTAACCAAACGCATTCTATATGAGATAAATCAGATATACATCAAATAAACACAATATTACAACGTACAATTGCACAAAAGGCTGCAAACGAACAGCGCGCATCTGAAGTGTCTCTGAAGGAAATAATGCATTATTTATCGGCTTTAAGATATCGGCCAAATTTTCTTATCAGGCCGATACCGATAACAGAAAAAATGAGCAGATATGGGCCGATACCGATCTGGTGGCCGATATATCGTGCATCCCTAACCAAGAGCCTACTTATTGGATCAATTACTAGTCTTGGCCTGTCACTCAGGGCTACCTCATTTTGCAGAAGGACCTGTCTCAAGAGGCCTCTAGTGGAAACACCCTGTCAGAGTAGGTATTCAAGGATTACCTAGTCCGGGTGCATCGCAGCGTAGCCCCGGGGGCCTGATGTTCACGAAGGCTCCCGCAAAAGCCTGTGTTCGGCCGCATGATCCAGGAGGTATGAAGCCGAAGCCCGGCTTTTTTTCTCACCGCCTGGACATATGTCGACGAGTGAAAGCCTACTGCAAGTAGAGCACCTGGCTTCTGAGCCCAGCAATGGCACCTCACCAAGGGCGTCTAGCAAGGGACAGAAACGTACAGGTCCCGGGAAACACTGCAATGGAACTATAGAAGGTTACACACACACAGCCGTCTCAGTCCGTCCTCAATATACAGATATCATGATATTTGGATCGTACTCACCCCCATGACTTCTGTGCTGGAGCTCTGCTCCGAGGCTTTTATGACCGGATCATTCCGCTGCAGGTACCTTTATACATCTCTAAGGTTATTTTTACACATGACCACCTCAGTCTCCCATTAGTATACATGCTCTCATGATATATGGATCATACTCACCCACCACGAGGCTTGT